ACACACACACACACAGGGAGAACATGGCAGCTGCTGACCACTTTCTTCTTGTTAATAAAGGTTAAATATGATGAAAGATGGCCGTTAAAGGCGCCACGTGTAACCTTCAAGTGTCTAGCTAGCTAATTAGCAAACTTTAAAAAACTTTGATTCTGGCTGTGTTTATAACAGCTGGAACACAAACCACATGCAGTGGTTGTGTTGCCGTGGTAACACATCTGTCATACACACCACAGTTATTGTTTAACCCATTAATGTCCACGGTGGACTTGTATAACTTCCTTTACAGAACTTAAAATCCTCATGAAGTTAAAATGCAAAGTCTTTATCTCCTCAGTCTCCTGCCGTTAGCTGGCGATAGAACCGGGCTNNCCGGGACCGAACACAACCTCCGAGACCGACAGGGAATAACGTTACAGTACCGTTAAACATCGGTCAGGAATTTCAGATCTTCATTATTTGTGATACACAACTGTTGAAATATAGATTTAAACAATAAGATAATCTGTAACGACATGAAATGGAGCTGTGTATGTGTGTATGTGTGTGTATGTGTGTGTGTGTGTGTGTGTGTGTGTTGGTAGTCAAACAGTCAGGTCCTTGATTTGATCAAAGGTGGAGAGATGACCACAAACACACCCAGTATATATATATATATATGTTTATACATATATGCTAGGAGAGCTTTCTTCTTGTATTTTTTTGTGTCTTCTTGTAGACAGAAATAAATAGTTAAGAACAGAAATCGACACATAATTAATGGTCTGTTATGGCCACAGACAAAAGACAATTTGTGAATAAAACAACTTTAACTAAATGTTAAACGTTGGTTTGTCTTTATTATGGACGAGACATTACATAATGGAATCAGCTAAATTAAATATTGTGATTATATTCACTACAGTAATCCCACATTCATTAGTAATGTATATACATTAGCAAAAATTAGATAAGATCTTCAGTCCTAAAATTAATAATACTCACACAACAGTTAAAGTTGTTTCACTTTTTATACACACAGAAGTTACCAAACTAACTTTACATTGTGTGTTTAATTGCAGTTAATACAACAAATATGTTTCCTTTATGTGACAGTACACACAATGTAAATACACAGTTTAATGAGGAGTGACTGGATGAAATATTATATCACAACCACAAAGAAAACAGCTTTAAACACAAACAGCGAGCAGCCAGCAGAGGGCGCCAGCACACACTGAAGATCAGTTGAGTTTTACACTGAAGCAAAAGACAATCTGTGGTCGTACTGTACTGGCAGTGATATTTCACTGATGACTAATTGTTGCTTTATGTTGTTCACTCCTGCTGCCAGATGAAACCAGGTTAAATAAAGACAAAAGGTTCCGTGTTGTTGAATAATGATCATCAGGCTGAAGTATAATGAACCATTATAGAGCGTCCGGTATGGACCTGCTCTTTATGGAAAGTAACTGTGGTGATTTGGTACAAAATGAAACTGAATTCCAACAGGGACCTGGAGGTGGCGTCTGCACTGGAACCTGATCTTGAGACAACTGATGTCTTTTCTGTGTCAGAGTTTAATATTATTTCAGTTAATATGATGTTTAGTATATTTGGTGAACAAATACTGAATCAGATGATCACAAAGCAGATGCTATAAAAGAAAATACATAAAAATACATAAATGTCATTAACACACAGCAGTCTGATCTGTGTAATGCATTACCTCTTATTTATGATTCATTAAATACATAATTTAATAAAAATCATTAAAACATGAGAATTTAATGGAGGTGAAGAAAAGTGAAAATCATTTTTGATATGATGTCATTTTGATTATAAACAGATTCTACTGATCACATTTCTTGAGTCAAATCTTTTTTTTACAGGAACTGGTCTTATTGTGAAGGCGGCACCTACAACCTGGATTATAATGGATCTGAATGTGTAGAAGGTACAGGGAGGGTGAGGGGGTCCATACACAGAGCTGCAGTTGGTTGTAATGACAGCAAGCAGCCAGCAGAGGGCGCCACAGGGCAGCAGTTTTGTAGTCTTTCCAGTTTTTTTATGGTCTTTTGTGCCTTTTTGTGTCTCTTTATGTTTGACTTCTCTTTTACATCTTTATGTCATTTTCTGCACCTTTTTGTCAAATCTGTCAGATACTGGTCTCATTGTGAACCTACAAACTGGATTATAATGGATCTGAATGTTGTGCTGTTGTATGCAGAGAAAGAGAAAGAACAGGGAGGGTGCAAGGGCCCCCCAGCCCCCATAGGGTTTAAATCCGGCCCTGACACACAGATCTCTAGAAACATCATTTTTAAAATACACATAAAATAAATGTATTTTTCATCCACTTTATGGTCATACAAGGGAGTTGAGTCAGGAAATTCATCCAAAGGATAGACGAGGAGGAGGAGGAGGAGGAGACCAACTTTTGGACGCACCGGCAGAGTCGCGGTCCTCTCCTCCGTCCAACCTCCTGCTGCTCCGCATTAAACTAATTAAAGTAATGAGGGTGATTAAAGCGGACCAGATCTGCAGCCCCACATCCTCTCTGGTCATTTAGGCCATCTCCACAGGATCTGCAGCTTTCTGCCGTTTATCTCTCCGGGTTTCCTCCGCCGGCACACTCACATGTCAGCTGGATTTTGGATCATTTCCTTTCGTTTCGTATCGGATTTCAGCCGTCTTTGCCCCCCCAGTGGAGGATTGAACCGAGAAAAGTGATGTGAGAGGTGAATTTCGGATTCGTGGGCTCTTTTGTTTTTTGATTTTACAGTCATCGCACTTTTCCTCCTCACTTCGGCGCTCTGCGGAAGACACGTTTTCTTCTTTCCCTCCATCACCTGACTGATTCCAACCAGAGGATCTTTGTAGGTTTCATTTCGGATTTGAAATGTTTCCCAGCTTTTGTTTTCTGCTCATACCTGGATTCACCTGGAGGTTTTTACTGCGCTTTAATCCTCTTTAAGGAATAAATCCAACGCACAGAAAACTGCAGTTTTACCTCTGCACAGACTCAGTCTGAGCAGTTAATCCTGGAATATTTTCTTGTGTTATTCTTTTGAAATGAATATTCTGCAACCTGTGGATGTATATTTAATTTACGAGGACTCACTTTCAACTTTGTTTGACTCTCTTTGCCTCTGGTAATGTGTGTGCTGCTCCTCCATGTGATACTTATCTGCAATAATCACATTTCATGGAGGAGAGAGAATTCTGGAAGCGTTGAAAGGTTCCCCAGTTTTCCACTTCACCGCCTTTGTTTCATCATCATCAAAACTTAAATGAACCCTCAAAATTTGAAGTACCCAGGAGAACATTTTCGGATCCTAAAGCAACTATTGCTTAATATGAGCAATCCTGAACATGGAATAACTCTAGAGAGACCTGGAGAGCCCAATGAAACACAAAAGCCTAAGGACCTTAAAGACTCTTTGAGTAGGTCTGACAAATGCTAGTCACCCAAGAAGAAAGTCTAAATTACCTCTTGCTCTAGAGACTCTGGTCTTAAAAAAAAAAAATCTGAAAGAGCGATAAGAACCCCCGCCTGAAGACCTTGAGGATACCAAGAGTTAAGTACTTTGAGGAACTCTATCCTCCAGATCCAGAGGTACCCTAAGAACTCCTCGGGACCGCCATCAGAGAACCAATGGGCACCCTACGAGACCTGCAGTACGCCCTGCAGGAGAAGATCGAAGAGCTGCGACAGCGTGACACCCTGATCGATGAACTGGAGCTGGAACTGGATCAGAAAGATGAGCTGATCCAGCGGCTGCAGAACGAGCTGGACAAGTACCGGTCCGTGCTCCGGCCAGCCACTGCCCAGCAGGTCCAGGTCCAGCAGCAGAACATGGTCTTGCAGCCAGACCAGCACCGCAGCAAACGGCAGGCCATCTCTGCTGAGCCCACCGCCTGCGACATCAGTGACCTCAGCCACGTCACCCTACCCTTTTACCCCAAGAGCCCAGAGTAAGTCCACTTTATGTGTGTGCTAGCTGGTCAGATAGTTCTGATTTTATTTGTCATGTTCCGAGAAATCTGTCTCCACCAGAATAAGTCAATGGACTTTAGTTTGTGCTTCCTCAGTTTGTGGCAGTAGGACAGGTTAAGTCTGAGCAGCTTTTTGACATTTTAGCTTTAGATTCCAGTGGTGGCAGTGTCGGATTATGACTGAACAATTCCAACAATGGCAGATCATTCAAAAGTCCAAAATTCTAAACAAGTTTTTATGAACAGAAAACTCCATATTAATTTATAACCTTTCAAACAAACATTCACTGCAGTCACGTTTGCTCCTTGCTTACCAACACAATGGGAACCATACCTGTATTAACGGTGTAACAGCACACACTTTCCTTGTGGCTCATACAATGCAATAAAATGTAACAAAATAAAGAATACCATAAGCACAATAACAAAGCAGCTCTAACACAAAGATGAACAGTTTAGCTAGCAAAAATTGTTTTTTTCTATAGGGCTGCACGACATCATATTGTCATTATTTTGACATGTATTACGATTGCAATAGGATTCACGATTAGTGGGAATTATCACTTTTGCATTGCTTTATGTAGGGCGCCCAGTTAGCTCAGTGGGTAGAGCTGGTGAGCCATGTACGGAGTTGCTGCAGCGG